CAGGCACCAAAAAAAAAGTAACAAAGAAATTTTCATGGAAGTTTCATATAAGCATGTTCGGAGATTGAAAGTGACCAACCTACAAAATCATATATTTTTACAAATGTAAAAAGAAGACATGAAAAATCTCATTACACCCACAAGTTTCCAGCAGCAGACTTCCCTGGCACAAAGTGACTGCACATGTGGACAACTGGAACACCATTTGTATACATTGACTTATTTAGGGTACATATTTGAGCACCAAGAAATTTCCCAATAATAACATACGCAGCTAGGAACACATGTTAAAATAAACACAATAAAAAATCATTTCTAACACAAAAATAAGTTTGAAAAAAAATAACTTTAATCAACAGATGAGCTCAAACGGCGTTATAAGCTTTGCTCTGTTAGCTCAATCAAAAGTCTAATGCCCTCTACACCATACAAAATTTTCTTTTGGAACGTTATTTCCTATGATAGAGAATATGCAAGGAGCACAAGAATAGAAAGAGTACCTGCACCAATTCATCAGTTTCCTTAGCACAAGTTGGAAGCTGATCTGCAGGAAGGACACGGATACTTGCACCCGTCTCACTTCGCAATCTTTGAATAACATCTCCACGCTTTCCAAGAACACACCCTACCGTATTGTTTGGAACTAGAAGTCTTGTCGTGACAACACTGTTCTCGTTGTCATCATCAAATGTAACTCCACCAAAGAGATCTTCCTCTACAATCCTGGCATGAACTTTCAAAAGAGCATTCTGGGCAGCACAATGTGGCTCCATTTCATTTCCCTCATCTGAATCTTCATTGTTATTTTGTTTGCTTGAAATTTTTGTTGGAGAGCTATAGATAATAATTACTCTCTCATCTGAGCCAAGAACAGAATCAGAAACCGAAATCTTTGCCCGGGTCTCTTCTCTAAGGGCTTTGACTATGTTGCCACCCTTCCCAATAACACCACCGATCTTTTTAGAAGGGCAGAGAATACGATACACAGTGTCGAGCGATTGGTAATCCTCTAGAGGTTGCTCACGGCCTGATTCATTCCACTTTCCTTTCTTATAGTTGTTGTTACCCCCTTTTCTTTTAAACTGGATGTTAGGGCGTTTCTTGAAAAAGTTTCGCTTGTTCCCATCCATCACAGCCGGAAAACTAAAAACTAAAAACTAAGCAGACCAATTTTTAAGCAAACCTAAATACCTGGATTAAACGAAAGAAAAACAAACGTCGCCATTACTGAGAAAGAGCCAAATGACATACTAATTTTCGCAGCAATGAAACTATACTCATCATTTCTAATTTCGAACGGAACACTACATTAAAAAAGCTATTGAATTAAAGGATTGCAATACAAAAGTTCAATTATAATTTATACATTGTTGAAGATTGCAATTAAAATACGTACCTTGATCATAGTAAAGTATTTCCAACGAGCTAGCAGCCGCAATTCGTGTTCGGCTCTGAGCCATCGCCATAGGATTCCAAAAACCTAAATATATTCACCTTATATACAAAAATGGAAGCAAAAAGGACACACCCTTTGGGATAACCAAGTTCATACAATATCAAATTCAAGCATTTTCTTTCTGGGAACTAACCAAAACAAATACTGCGACAGAAAAGTTGGAATCTTTAGTCAATTAAGAGCAGAAAACAATGATTTAGATGGAGGATGATCGGAGAAATGAGAAGAAGATATCACAGATCAGTTGGTAAAACTCTAAAATTATGGTTTGTGGGGAAGTCAATGAAAAGTTTGTACCCTTTTACGTACCAGAGAGAGAGAGAATCAGAGGTGGAAGCAGTGCGGCCACAGCTTGCCGGGGCGACTGGCGGTCCCCGTCTTTGGAGAGAATGAGAGAGATGAATCGAGGCAATGGAGCTTGGAGTCCTGGACTTGCAGAGTTTTGCCTGTATTTTCTGTTTTTTGGGTGGAAAAGAAGGTGGGCTTCGACCCATTTCGAATTAGTAGGAAAGGCCTAACTTATCTCTATTTATTCTTTGTGAATCACAAGAGGCCATGTCCAATTTGAAGAAAGTCCCAAATGTTTGAAGACTCTCGGCGGGCTTTAGATTTTTAAGTGTAGGCGGAACAAAGTTGATATATTATGTGTCGTAATAAAGTAAAAAAAATTATTCACTTATATTGTGACACGAATTTTTATCTCAGATACATAGATTCTTCTTATAAGAGTTAATTCAAACATTCAATGGAGTTTATCCTTGGAGAGATATCTAAAGCCTTCATTGTTTGAAACTTTAAGATAAAGGATAAGATCTAGTAAACGATCCATTCAAATAAAGTAAATTGTTTTTTTACTTAACTATTACTACTTTCTTCAACTTGAGAGGCATTTAAATTTTTTAAACGTGGACATAAATAGTTTTCCTTTATTTTAGCTCTCACTTCTCTCTCTCTCTCCTCCTTCATCCTCTCAGTATGGCGTGATCCAAAGCCAGCAATGTACTAGCAACCGGGTCGAAGTTCGTGATCTCAGATCTAGTTGTGAATGGGCCGAAGTTAGAGAACTTAATTCCTGACTGGATCACTTGCCACGATCGGTGCTTCATCGACAGGAGGAAGGCAGAAGAGGAAGAGAAAGGGAGAGAAGAGAGGGTGGTAATCGGACTGGATGGGGGGTGGTATTGGTACAATTACCATACCAAAACCCATGTACCAATGATTTTTTTTTTCCAATCCAATTCAGGACCCAAATATGTTTTGGCTACTCTCTTTGGTTTTCTAAAACTTTTTTATTTAATTATGATAATTTTATAGAGATTCATTTAAGAAACAAGAAGTAAATAGATGGAAGAATTCCTGAAAGAACCCAACATCCCTATAAAAAATAGTACAAAGATTCCTAAATTTCATCTCTACATTCTTTAAAATTGTACAAAAAAATAACTTGATAGACGAAGCTAGGGCGAAAGACATCCCAATTTGATGAAGGAGAAGATGAGATGGACTGTGAAGAGAGAGAGAGAGAGAGTCGTCGAAACGGAAGCAACAGAGATAAAGCCGATGGCTAAATGAGTGAAAAGATGAAGAGTCGCAGCGCAAGAAGACTTAGGTTTTTCTATTGGGAAAGTAGAGGTTAGAGGGTGAGATGATTGGATAAATGACTAGGAAAAAAAATATAAAATGCATATAATAATACATAATTATGTATATAAATGAATAAATAAATTATATGATATTAATAGTAGTGTTGTACGGTATACCACTGGTAATGGTTTTGAATACCATTACCGTACCGAAAATGTATGGTACGGTACAAATATCGTACCATTATCAGTGATACAATTTTTTTGGTATAATTTTGATATGGTACGGTTAGTAATTCGGTTGTTATGGTAATTTGGCAAAAAATTTCACCTCTAGATGGGAGATGGGAGATGGGAGAGTGGAGGTTGTCGCGCTTTTTTTTGTTTTTGGGGGGTTTCGGGAAAGGCACCGGGGGGGGTGGTTTGGGTTTGCTTTTTTATTTTTCTATTTACGAAAAAACATTTTATTTTGGGTATTAAATACCTAGTTAACAAAGAATTTTATTAAGTGCCATGTGTTGATTTTTGATTGGAAGATTCAACCCAAGTCATCAACATGGCAAATTTAATGGGTCAAAGGTATACAACGTCATCACTTAACGAAGCCATTTGACGAAATCCTAACGGAAATATGAAACTGGTACAAAAATTAAACTTTAGGTATGAAAGTGAGAAGTACTTGTAGTAAAGTAAGATTTTTCCAAAACTTGAGGATAGTAAAATAGAAATTACAGATTATAAATAGGTCATCTTGCTCTTAGGTTTGTAATCTTATCATATTATTCAATTGAAAATAGAGAGTTTCTATCAAATCTCTAGAGTTATAGAATTCTTCAGAGTGACGATTCATGATCTTTTTATCTTATAACTTCAGCGGTGTCATTTATTTATACGCGATAAATCAGAAAAGTGCAAGTTTTAGTTTAAATAAGGAATTAGATCGAGAAGGGGGCGTAGTTGTTCAAATTCTGTATCCATTCCTGTTAAGTAAACACGCTCTTAATGTATGAATTGGTTTCTATCACTTAGAATTTGACAATAAGACTATTATAAAATCTATAAAAAGATTCTAATAGAAAAATCATATGTATTAGTTGTCCGTATAAAGTGGTAGACCTCTGCTCTCACAGAAAAATAACGCTCATGGTTTTACTATAATCTATTATCATCTGACATTGAGAATCTGACATAAAGGAGGACAACTTTGAAGATCATATATGGTTTCTTCATCGGCTTCTAGAAGTTAGATTATTCTCACAAAGACAACACCAAAACTAGACCAAGAGCATTTAGCATTGAACTAGATTGGTATTTTTCATCGTTGCAACATGAAACAATGCAATGTCCGAGTGTTTATCAATCACGGCCTTTACAAACGGGATAAATTTTTCCAGGTAACTGGAACACTAGCTGACGTGGTTTTCCCAACCAATAGAACCTTAGCACATTTTTATTTCATTATTAAAATTTGAAAATTTGCCACGTTTAGCCATTTATTATTGACATTAATGAATTGATCAACAAATTTCCTAATATACCCCTAAGGGGTGGAGGAAATGAGGGGTGGGTGGGGTGAACGGTTCAGGTCTCCGGGAGGGGAGTCGACTAATCGGGGAGAAGGGTTGTGGTGGCGACTTGGGAATTGGGAACTTGTTTATTTTAATTTTACTTTTATAAAAGTCGATTGTGTTAAATTGATATGCAATAAGAATGCAGGTGTAAGCAAATTATTAGTGAACAACGTTACCTGTTATGTTGAGATGTTTGTTTCAGTCACATAGAAAAATTTCTCTACAAACAAATGCTTTAACGCAAACAGTTTATAAATAGGGATTCCCATTGCACCATTCAGTCATTCAATTCATCCCTAGTATTCTGCAAAGGATTTTGTCAACAATGTCCTTATCGTATTTCTTTTCATAAGATATGGGTAGGATTTCGCCCATTAACAAAAATTGAAGTTCATGCCAATACAAATATTGAAGTTGGAGTTTATTACCAAATCTGGAACACGTACATTAATTATACATTCTTTAGGCCCAAAAACAGAAAGAGTGTACATAACTTATTTATCATTATTCTTTAAGCAACTCCTAAAAACTCCCTCAAAAGTGACCGAAACAAATATCAAGACAAAATGACTAGAACAGTCTAAGAGAACCGAATGACCAAGGTTTGCCTTTTTTGTTGGCCACAAATATTCCAGCTCCGTAAGTAGAAATGAAGATCTCAACAAGGAGGAAAAATTGCATCCATACGAAGGAGACAACTGGAACACTAGCAAGTAAAATGATCGGAACCACTATCCACTTTTTTGAATCCAGCATAAGAAAAAGGGTAGAAGAAAACGCAATCATCATGGTAACGATAGAGGAGAAGAGGGTGAAAAGGCCTATAACCATCTTCGTTGGCAATGATTTAAGAAAATCCTCTTCAGCATAACGCGAGTTGAGAATTCCTAAGAATGTCACCACTGAAGTTGTGGAAGAAAAGAGTGAAAAGACATCAGCAACTATGAAGACCATAAAGATCCTTTTATTTAAGAACACGGGATAGCCTGCCTTGATTCCACCTGGAACTGAGAATACTGCGATAAACATGATTGTAACAATAAGAGCCCCTACAACCGTACAAGAAGTTGCTGTTGCTTTCATTGACCTTTCACATTCGTTTGCCAATTCCTTGTGGTTCTTAGTAAATAGATCACGGGCGGTCATGCCATCTGTATAGTTTACAACTTCAAGAAACTTGGGAGGTACAATTTTCTCCACGTCCTGCATTTCAGTGAATAGAAGAAAGTCAAATAATTTATTTTCTTCAAGGACACTCAAATCTAATCCCAAGTAATTAATATTTTTTGTACAAACCCTTGAATATCCGCTCTTTGACCATGAATATATATTGCTAAAATCTAATTTCAAATAACCTAGCATTCTGAGCTCTTAAACAGTAATCAAAATTTCATTTTTATTTTGGTTGTTTCCTGATTGTGCAAATTGCTGTCACAAATAATCAGGTTTTATTTGGTATGTCCTCCAAATAATCAAGTAATTTACCAATTAACCATGTGACTAGAATTTTATACAGTAAAACCTATTTATAGTGGACCTTGTGGATTGCTTTGGTACTAACCTCTTTTTTTTAAACCCAGTACGTCTTAGATTCAAATGAAAACTAATGAAAATGGCTTGAAAATTTTGAGTTTTAACGATAAGGACAAAATAAAGGGTAAAGTGAATAGTATCAGTATTGACTTTTTAGTGTAAAAATATGGTTTTTCTTAAAGTGAACCGTACCGGGAGATTTTCGTTAAAATTTCCTAGATTCAAATCCTTATCTATTCAATCTAGCTTAGAATAGTGATATTGCTTGTAAAATTTTAGTTATTTCTTTTAGGTCACATCCTAAGAAGAGAGGTGGTGTTTCCTGAGGCCACGTTTTAGTAGTCACTTAATTTTGTAATCCCTTTTTATTTTTATAAAGGTATTGGTGGTGGGTTCACATATTGAGTCAGTCATAATTACACATGAAACTCGTTATTTATGAGACTTGAACTTGAAACTTGATTAACAGTATAGTGAAATTTGATTTCTTGATTAGAAACATAAAATATATAAGAAGAAACTCTAACCTTGAACCATTGTAGTTCTCTCTGCATTTGCATTGCTGCACATGGGATTTGTTTAAGCTGTGCGGGTGGGGATAACCTCGCTGCTGAATGTAGTAAAGTATTGTTGAACTTATCTACTCTGGATTCAGTACGAACATTCATGATTCGGGTAAATTCATGGAAAAAGTTATAGACTTTTTCTTGGCGGCATTCAATGGAAAACTGAAACATGCTCTTTGCATTTTCGTCATATATCCCTAAAGCTAGGGTATTTGCAGTAAACAGCTGACGAAGAAACTCATCATTCCCATGTTCAACAGCTTTGAAGAGTGCTGTGTGTACGGAACTTCCTTGCATTTGTTTCAGGTTTAAACCTTCTGTCATTTTGCATATGCCTTGTAAAACTTCAAGGGATTGGACATGGATCTGTTTCAATTTGTATATGTGATCGATTCCTAGGTGGACGTAGAAAAATAATTAATCATTAAGTTTCAAGAAGAATGACTGAAAGAAGTTCTAATCGATCAATGGATAAATGTTAGACTAAAAATTGAAAGAAAAGATGACATGAAGCATTACCGAAAAGTTTACGGAGATTTGAGATAAGCCCTCGCAGAAAAGGCATTACTACATTGCGAATACAAAAATGTTGCATTAGATATTCAAAGCATTTGTTAATTAGGTATGATCCATAACAAAGTAAAAGATACACCTGAGGATATTACATACCGGAGAGAATTATGTGACCCCTTTGATCATTAATCGGGTCATTGGCTTGTTTTTGAACATCCATGCGAACATCACGGATCCCAGAAGCATGTGGTATGTTTATACCTATCAAGGAAATAAACACGACTCTAATCAATGTATAGAACTTTTTGTTTTGGTCGAGAGTCTGGAAGCATGAACCTTTTCTTTTACTGTATAAATATTTAAAAAATTAGATTTTAGTCCTTAAATAAGAAGAAGTTTGAAAAATGTCTTATCCAAGATTAAAAATTGATTTCAATCCCTAAATTTTATTTAATGCCACCATATGCATTCAATGTCTTTTTTATTATTATTTTTATTTTATAATTTTACGGTGTCCAGAATTACATTTCATGTAAAATATTGTAAATTTTATTATCATTTGAAATCAAATCAATTAGCTTTATTTGTGACATTTTCCATAACCAATTTATGGTAAGTATCATATAATAAAGAAAATATTTTGGTAGACTTTTCAATACACTTATATTTTTGCATATTTTCTTATGAGCCATTAATTCATTGCAAAATATTTAGGTATAGACATTTAGGTACACTAGTATGATATACTATGTTTAGTTATGGACATTTCAGTACACTAGTTTGGTATAATATGTTTAGGTACAGAAATTTCGGTACACTAGTATAATAAAATAAATTAAAATAGTTCAGTAAAATAAATTAAAATATTACAGACATTTTCATACATTAGTTCAATAAAATAAATTAAAATAGTTCAGTAAAATAAATTATGGTACGGACGTCTAGGTACACTAATTAGAGGAAGTTAAACTAAATTAAAGAATTCAAATGTGTATAATGATAAATTTAAAATGTGTATAATAATAAATTTAAAATTTAATGTGGAGATATTAAATAAGATATCTATTAAATATGAAAACAAAAATATAACATAAATTCGAATTAAGTATACATTAAAGGACTAAAATAAATATATAATCCAACACTAGATTTTTATTAAATTTTAATCTTCTTCATGGATTAAAGTTCAAAAACCCAATAAATATTTTTGTCTGTGAAAATAGAAGTTTAGGTGCATACCCAAAATAAATGATTAACATGGAAAACAGTGGACTTACTGGTGAAGACAAACATAAGAGCCGTTTTTGGCACGTTGTTTTACTATTTCTTAACTTAAACTAGTGAAAGAATGCATAGTGTTGGAAACATAAATTAATTACGCCCGAATCATAGACTGTCAAGTGGACTAAGCTCAACACTAATGGGTTAAACAGGTCAACCTTCTAAGGACCAGCAAAAACCCACAACTATCAAGCCCAGGCCCAAATCTTGTCAAGACATTTTTGTTTTTCTTTGTGGGACATGGTTGTAAAACCCTCGCACCACACCCCTTAAGGAAGGGAAAAAGATCCTCGCCGGATCGTTTTTTGGAGATCCTAAGGATCCGGTAATCGTGATCATTCATCGTACATCATGCGATCAGTTTTTATTAGGTACTATTTATATTTAATTTTAAATTTTAAATTTTGAAATGATTTATGACCGCACGATGTACGATAAACAGTCACAATCACGAGATACCTAGGATCCCCATGAAAAGGATCCGACAAGGATCCTTTTCCTTAAGAAAGTTAAAGGTTCTATTATAAATTAAATTGTCAATATGGAGAGTAGTTTAGTCCTTACAAGATTTCTCATTTCACTAATGTAAACTTTTTACTTCGCATCATTATGCCCCCTTACCTATGACTAATTTTTAAACCAAACACGTGACCATCACGAATTGGGTGATGTTGAGCAAGTGTGGCCCTTGGGATTTACAACCTATAGGCGTCTAAGCCGACAGGTAAAGGGAGACTCGTTGACTTGCCTAACCCGTTATGGCATACTAGTAGACAATTGATGGACCTCTTCCACTATAAATAACCAAGTCGTACAAGGAAACTTATTGATCACAAACTTTATTTAGAATTCTCTTTTGAATGTTAGTTGCTCTCAACGTCTTCTGACTTGGGCATCGGAGATAGAAATTTCCAATAGACATAAAATGAATTTTCTTATGTTTTATTTTGTCATATTAAGTATAAAAAATATAAAAAAAATAAGAGATTTGAGATAAATCAAATCGCGTGAATTGTGTGCAGGTATCCTTGCATGTATAACATTTAGGAAAGGGTAATGCTAGGAAGATCAAATTTGTAGACTAAATTTTGTAAACTAAATTATTACTTAAGAGGTTATGCTAAGGAAACTAAATTTGTAAACTAAATGACATGAAAGTTGATGATTGAATTATTACTTAAGGTTGATAAACGTGCTCATTTCTATTAGTGTGACATCATTTAGTTTGCAAATTATGCTTACAAATTTAGTCTCTCTAGCATTACTCTTATTTAAGTGTTAATTAACATGTTTACTTTTTTTTTGTGACACATCATTTGAATTGCAAATTAGTCTATCTAGCATTCCTCTTTAGGAAATAACTTATTGAAAACTGGTAGGTGCCCAATGGACTAGAGGAACAAAGAAATTAATAAAGTATAAAATTTATCATAGAATAGAGAGTAATTACCAACTGACATATAAGTCGATTATTGGATTATTACCTAAGTGTTAATTAACGTGCTTACTTCTTATTGATGACATATAATTTGGCTTGCAAATTTAGTCTATAAATTTGGTCTACCTAGCATTACTCTTTAGGAAATATCTTATTGAAAAACTCGCAGGTGCCCACTCGACTAGAGGGACAGGGATATTAATAAAGTATAAAATTTATCATAGAATAAAGTGTAATTACTAACTGTTATAGATCCATTGTTGCCAGAACCCGAGATGCGTTCCACTTGAAAAGAGAGATGGCATACAAGCCAATTCCTGCAAAGGTGATTTCCCCGTAGAGTTTGTAGCAAAGGCCAAGTTCGGGCAACGCTGAATTAAATCCAATGCAATATCTACAATAGATAAAAAGAAGAAGAATTACATACATGGCAAAAAGTAAGTAATCAATATTTCTGAGGAAAAATGCTATTTAAATACATAAAAATAATACAATCTGAAGTAGAGGTGGGCCTAACGTATATTATTGCAGTCCACGTTAATTTGAGAGTGTGTCAGAAAATGTGTGTGTATAATTACTGTATTTGAAACATTTAAGTACCGAGTTCTTTGGAGGTAAAACAGTGGGAAATAAGGTCAGCGCTAGTCCGACAGTTGTCTTGGGTCGACGTCAAAGCTTCCAAAGGGGTAACTGAATAGAGATAGCGAGCCAATTCCCAATGGCCGCCATGACAAGCCTTGATCAGTGGGATCATTTTAAGGGGATTGCATGGTATGCAAAGTAATCTCTTGTTCTTTTCGATTATGCATCTAGCCACTTCGGGTGCTATTAGCGTAGCCAGAGCTAAAGCTGTGACACCGTTAGCGTCTTCTATTTCCAAGTCTTCCTCCGTCATCCACTCCACTAATTCTTTCGCCATATGTTCGTTTTCCATTGAAACTGCCATGTGAAGAGCTGTCGAGCCTGATAATGAACCTCTTTCTCTGATTGCCTCGTGATGCATAGTAAGATACTTCTTTGCAGAATCACAGTCACCTTTTACAACAGCATCAATGAAGGATTGATGGTGGGGGAACTCATTGAAGTCGCCGTTAGTGTTATAATGATCTGTCAAGTAATATTTTATGGATTGTTAACTAAACGTCAATAATTTGAGGATGAATTATATGTAATGTTGAAAATAATAGAGAACTAAATAAAATAATTAATTAAACAAAACAATAAAGGTTCATGCATGCTGCTGTACAGTTGAGATCAGATAATACTGCTTACGTACCCTCATTCCGCGTCAGACCGGTATTCAATTCTTCATGTGGTATCAAAACCTCTGCATCGATCACAAGAGGTGACTTCATTAGAAGAAGTAAACTCGATCTTGATAGTTATATTGGAATGAACATAGAAAGGAGACATGTAGTACGTTCTACACGTACCTGTGTTTTCCAAGGCTGGATCGGCCGGCTTCAACTTTTCAGCCAAAGCATCCCAGGCGACTTTGGCACTGCTAATGCCCCGGATAAAAAAATAAGTATCATCCCCGCAACAACTCTGGATTGCATGTAAAACCTTGGCATTATTCTTCCTCCAGACCATGAATTCAACTTCTCCATCTTCTCGTCTAGGAGGTTCAGAGGTCCCTTCCACAACCTCCCAAAGATCTTCAGCCAACAAGTAGGTTTTAAACCGGAAACTCCAATCTTCATAATTATCGTGACTAAGAACTTTAAGATTAGCAATTACACTAGGAACAACCGCAGCTGCCATGTTCAATCTGCAAATGTAATCAATTATCAAATATGATATTACGTCGATTTTTAAGAAAATAATGAAACAAATCAATATAACTAAACTCACTGCTCGATCCAGTAGTGGCAATCTTCAAAAAATAATTAAGATGCAGCTATGAGCCTATGAGCTTAGCTTGAGTAAACTCGACCACTCTGAGCACCTAGTGTGAGTAAACTTCTGATGTATATATAGGTAGCAAATGAGCAATGAAAGACTTGGTAAAAGAGACAGAACAATATGCCACCTAATTGCCACCTAATACAGCAGTAAATTCCCACTCGGTGTTAACTGCGCGTATTCAATAATGGGAGAATTCTGTCTCTACCTTCAGCCATACAACACTGCTTTTCTTCAATAATTAGTACAATTAAATTAACACTCTTATGGTTGGGCTAAATTCTATATCCAATGGTTGGGCTAAAAGCCAAATATTTTAGCTCGGAAAATTTAACTTTTAGCCCAGAAACAGTTTTTCTGCTCCAACAGTTCTAGCCTAAAATTTTAGCCCGGGATTATTAGAGAATGAACTTATGCTATTTTTTTGTTAAATTAATTTTTTTTTTAAATATGTAGACTGTCGTAAATTAATTTTACGAACATTTTAATCTAAAAAAAATTTTAATTCCGATAAATATTAAAAAATTTAAATTCCGATAAATATTGAAAAATTTTAAATTTCGATAAATATTGAAAAATTTAAATTCTGATTTTTGGGCTAAATTTCGCGGGGAATCTGGCATTGGTTTAGCATTTAACCCAAATTTTCCCCTTGGGTTGGAGTGGGTTTGAGAGGAAATTTTAGGGGGTAATTTGACTTTTAGCCCACCATTGAAGTTAGTATTAGGTCTTGTTGATAAAAAAAAATAAAAAACATAAATAAATAAATAAAACACTCTTAGGTCTTGTTTGGTTTTTTTTTTAAAACCAAAAAATTGCTTTAAAGTTAGACATAAACTGATAAAAGCATACGGAAAAATAAAATAGCAAACTTATTTTAAAATGATAGCCTCTAAATAACAACTATGCTTCTTTCATAAAAAGTAGAGCCTAAATCCTTTAATAAATATTTTCAAATCATGTATATACCCTAATGTTTTTTTTTAAAATGACGTTGTCGATCATTTTGCACACACATTTTCTCCCTTTGAAAACAAAGTGAGCACCACCATCTATCACCACAACCACCAATCTTACCACCACAAGTATCACGACAACCACCAACCTTACCACCACAAAGTTGTTGTCTCTACCCCACATCAACTCTACCTCTACACCCCCAACCACCATAACCCACATTGGCACCACACCATGCCCTCACTATTGTCATTACCATCAACATCACTGTTATGCTCTGCAACCACCTATGACTGTAAATTTGTAGCCACCATGCCTTACTATTGGCACCACCATCATACCTCCATTATTTTTGCTGCTATGATCACCACTCCTACCAACGCTATCATCGAACCCCTAATACCATGTCCATTATGTCATTATACATACTAAAACACTTTCAGATTAATATTTATCAAAATGTAATGCTAGAGAGACCATCTTTTTTTTTTAGAACAAACGATAATATTTATACAAACAGGATGGGGGAGTGGGCTAAGCATCATAATGGACTAGCCATAATAACGTGATTCAAATTCGCGTTTGGCGAGAATCGAACGTATGACATCTCTTTAATGAAGAGGAATACTACTAGACCGTAGTATTAAGTGGCAAGACCATTTTTTTTAACGAATAATATTATCTACACTAAGGGAGTGGGGGAAAGTGGCAAGACCATCTATTTAAACCATATTTTGTAAACCATATGACGTGGTTATTAATAATACTTAAGTACTGATTAATATGCTTATTTTTTATTGATGACACATCACATAATTTGCAAATTTTGTTTAAAAAATTGATCTACCTATTATCTTTTACAATGCTTTTGATACTCATAACACTTATTAAAATATAAAAATTCATCAAACAACAAGAATCATAAATATAAAGTGAAGTTGGATTTTTTTTTTTTTTGGTAAGAATCTAAGTGCATGATAAGGTGCGTGATAGGGAGTGATTAGAGAGAGACTTTTCCAACTCCAAACCTAATAATTATACCCGAACTTGTTCAAATTTTTTTGGTAAAAGTTTTGACATGTACGAGAAACACTTAGCTCCCATGTTCCACGGTTCCACCTTCTTGTCAAGACGCGGTACGCAACACCTCCACAGTCCATATCAGACACGATTTTTTTGGACACAAGCCCTCGTCTCCGCCACTGTAATTTCCCACAACGGAGACGATTCCTTGGATCGACCAAAAAAACACGATTCTTTTGGACTGACTCTCCAGTCACCCACTACTGGAAGTCTCCACAACAGTAATCAGATATAATTCTTTCATTTCTTTCTGGCTAAAGTCAAGATCTTTGCTCCCCACAACCACAGACAATGTGGTTGATTGGTTACGTGTCGGTTTAGATATCATAAAATAATACGGGACCGCCATTGCATGATTATTGTGCATTCACATGAAAGAAAGGCCGATCCTTTTCTTATTGGTCAAGAATGTCGTATTTTTAGCTTTCTATCTTTTCCCAGCACAAAATGATGGCCATTGCAATATCCGCGAGTCACAATTCATATCATATTCTCTAAGGAATGAGTGGCGTGAGGAGTGCATCAATCATGATTCACAATTCATATACCTTTTCAGAAATGCAGAGTATACTGCGCATAGTCCAGAGATTGATAATACTCTTTTGGGTAATTGTACTAAAATACCTCAACTAATGGTCGAATCATAATCTTATACTTTATGTTTTGAAAATTACAATATCATACCTCATCTTACGAGTTTATTGCGATGTTAGACATTCGTTAAATGTTGACGTGATTTGAAGCGTGACTCATTCCTTAACCCAATTCAATAAAAATATTTAAATATTAAAAATTAAAGATTAATATTTTAAAATATATTTTATAAAAAAAATTAGGACCCATCCCTACAAAATTATTACCCTCACCCTTCTTCCCCAATTCATCTTCCCCAATTCATCTATAAAAAAATTAGGACCCATCCCTACAAAATTATTACCCTCACCCTTCTTCCCCAATTCATCTCCCCCCACCCCCACAAAACTCTAACTCCTTCACCATCACAACCTAATCCCCCACCTCCTTCACCATCACAACCTAATCCCCCACCGCCGCCCACTTCCAAGACTAGGCTCACCCACCTATTTTTCATTAAAGGAATCCACGTGGGGGCTTGGATTGGCACAACCGACTTCCTGGGCGAGCTTCTCAGGTGAGTTTACGGCAAACTCCGGTGACAAGCACATTCGCCACTAGGATGAATTTTTTTGTCAAATTACTATACCAACTGTATCATACCAAGGTTGTGTCAAAAAAAATTGTACCATTGGTAAGGATACGGTACCATACCATACATTTTCGGTACGGTAATGGTAATGATATATCATACCCTACCGTACCACTACTATTAATATTATATCATTTATTTATTCATTTATATATATAATTAGGTATTATTATCATTATATATGTACTTTATATTTTTTTTATAATCATTTATCCAATCATCTCACCCTCTAACTTTTATTTTCCCAATAAAAAAGCCTAAGCCTTTTTGCGCTGCGACTCTTCATCTTTTCACTCATCTAACCATCGTCTTCGTCTATGTTGCTTCCGTTCTGGCAACTCTCTCTCTTCGCAGTCCATCTCATATTCTCCATCATCAAATTGGGATGTCTTTCTCCCTGATTTCATCTATCAAGTTAATTTTTGTATAATTTTAAAGAATGTAGAGATGAAATTTAGGAATCTTTGTATTATTCTTTTTAGATATGTTGGGTTCTTTCAGCAATTCTTCTATCTATTTACTTCTTATTTTTTAAATGAATCTCTATAAAATTCTTATAATTAAATAAAAAAATTTTTAGAAACCCAAAGAGAGTAGTCAAAATACATTTGGGCCTTGAATTGGGTTGGAAAAAAAAAATTAAAATTTTGGAAGAATGAACCAAAATAAAGTGGTAATTATCATTATAATACCTTGCAAACTGAATTATTTGGCATACAGTATGCTGAAAGTTTAGCACGGTAACAAATTTTTTCATACCAAAAGTTTGGTATGTTAATTGGTACATGAGTTTTTGTACGGTAATCTACCAATACCACCCCTAGTCGCAACCACCGCCGTTCCACTGCTTTCGGTGCCACAAATAGGACCACCCAGATTTCACGCTGTTTGGTCGCCGTTCATGGTGGATAGAACTGTGGATCTCAGGACCAAGCTCATCAGGTAGTTGCCATCGGCGGTGTCAACAATCGAATCGAGAGGATTGCGAATCGCGGTTTGGCACAGCATATGGGCAACGGTGAGAAATGAACTGCTTCTATCCACGACGACGTCGTTTTCACCACATGGGGATCGGGGGTTTGATTGCCTCAGTCTCCTCCCTGTTAGCTAGCCACGGTCTCTCTGTCGACATCGGAAAAATGACGGTGTCTCTTCCCTGCAGCCAAAGCTGGGCAGCAGCTCAACCACAAGAAAAAAGGGCGACTGGGCAAAGCAGCAGCTGCGCTGCGGGAGGAAGAAGAAGGAACAAACATAACCCTGGGCCAACTATGTCGTTTGGCCCCATTCTCTTCAATTTTTTTTTTTAATTTCATAATATTCTTTTATTAATTTCAAATATTTTTAAATAATAACAATTTTTTATTAATTTTTTGTCCACGTGGCTCAAACATGATATTCGTATCAGCAAAGTGTGGGGTTTGCGCTTGTCACGTCAATATTTAACAGAAAAGTTGATGGATGTATTACATTGCAATGAATTCGTAAGTTGATGTATGACATTGTAATGTTTAAAAGATAATGTATGAGATTGTTATGCGACATAAAATTAAAGTAATAAAATGTAATTTACCCTATTCTTTTAAACTGGATATTAGGACATCTCTTGAAAACTTTATGCTAGTTCTCATCCATGTTAAGTTAAACTTTGCATATTGAAGGATAGAAATATCCAGATATTTATGGATAAGTATCCTTTCATCCATCATTAGTGGCCAAGCAGCTCCAATACCGCATCCTAGTAGGATTTCGAAACCAAATCCTATACAGCTCGGAGAAATGAAAGCCAAAAAGAAGCCTTTAGGGCAGTTTCACTTTGAAGGATTTGAGTTTGGGAATGG